GGCACAGAAAGCAAAGAGGAATGGCTAAGCTGAAACTTCACAGCAGTGATTATGGACTTTATAGGCGTTGTGAAGTGGGTGAGAGGGCTACAAGCTTTCATCAGATCCTCAAGCCTTAGACTCCAGAAGATATAAAGAACCTTAGCTTTCAGTGCGGTGGTCCTCAAGTTTCGGTCTCCATCTGAATCACCTGACTGGCTTGTTGGGCCAGCGGTCATTGGCCCCACTCTGAGGCTCTGATTCAGTAGGTGTGGAATGGACTTCTAACAAGTTTCCAAAGGAGGTGCTGTCAGTCCAGGGACCTTACATTGAGAATCACTGCATCAGCGGATCTAAAAACATGAGGGGTACAAGTTATGATCTTCCTTTTTTCAGAAAGAGTTCTAACAGATGCTACAGCCCTCTAAGCCACCCCTAAATCCCAAAGGATTTTATTTTTGGAAGAGTGACAGACCCCAAGCCTCCTCTTGGAGGTCAGGAAGCATCTGGAACACAGCATTTTAGAAGGCGCAGGGCAGTGCCTTCATTCCCTTAAAAGCCTAAGTAAAACTGAGCTGGGAACTGCAGGGCCGGCAGACCCAATTATGGGACCAATTGTTGATTGGTAGTGAGGTTCTGGGAATCTGGGCGAACCCCGACCCTCTTCTGGAGGCTGCCTCTTGATTCCTATTTAGCCAGATAGGAAGAAAGGGTGTCACTGGAGGAAGAATCTGGGAAGGAGAAGACAGAATTCAAGAGCTTCATTCACAGAGCCCTTTGATTAGGTTATTGTGGTAAGGGTGGAAGAGGGAAGAATAATACTCGGGGCTGTGCTTACTTTAAGCAAGAGCAGCAGAAAGAGGCCTGGAAGGGCCATTGCCAACTTCCTTCAGACCTGCTCTGAGTAAGTCATTCCCCCAAGAAAGGGGAGGGGAGGGGAGGGATGAAATGTGGATTCATTCATGAATCAGCCCCCAGAAGAGGAAGTGTGGTTTCTATGTTATGCAGAGGAACCCTCCTTTGCTACAGGGAATACGGTTTTGTTATACAGCTAGATGAGAGGGGGCTGAAAAAAGTTTGTGTGAAAATTACATGATTTTTAAAGTTTCATATCCCCAAGGGCTCTTTGAAGCCCCCTTTATACATCCCAAGGAGAGGCAACATCAAAGTTGAGAAGCCCTACAAATTAGGGGACAATGAGCTAGTCTTATAGGGACTATAACACACTAGCATAACTTGAGATGATGAATGAGCTTTGACATCAGCCTGCTTGGACTCAGAATTCTGTGTGACCTTGGGCATATGAATCTTTCTTTGCCTTATTTCCTGATTCATAAAATGGGGACAGTAATAGTACCTACCCTCATGGGGTTGTAATAATGAAATGAAATAACCTAGGTAAAATGCTTAGCTTTTTGCTTTGCATATTTAAACCAGTCCATGTTAGTTCTATTACACAAGCACCATGCTCTTTTAAGAATGATCTCTATGCAGTTTAAGTGACAACTCAGAAGACTAGATAGAAACTTGAAGGGGCCATGAGTTAATACTAATGACAGGCGGGAACAACTCCGCATAGATGAGAATGGGACCACAACTCCATGAATGTACTCCGTGTCACTATACTGTACATGTAGAAATGGCTGAATTGCTGTTTGCTTGGCTGTGTGTATTCACAAAAGAAAAGAAAGTAGTGGGCTTGAAAAATTTAGGATAGTGGCAGTCCAAGCCTACCTGAGGCCACTACCAGAGACAGAAGGCAGAGCGAGGCTAGGGCTGCTGCCAATCTCTAGGGAGCTTGACAGAGAAACTTGACTCTCCTGGCAAGGCCGGGGTGTGAGCTGGGCAGGCAGCACCAGGATGCCTAGAATGGTAGGGTTAATCCTAATGGCTGTCAGGTGAGGGTATCTTTCCTTTTTAATGTTGCAACACCCTAGCTAAATGCCAAATGTACTGGTTTGAACAAACCAAAGCGAATGAAAATGAACTTTGGTAGGATAATTAGAACGGGAGGGGAACGAGGCTCCTCTTTCTAAAAGTTCCAAATGTGCAGGGGTTGGGGGTGGATGGTGAAGTGAGAAGAATGGAGGGGCACGCTGGCTCTGAGGTTGGCTTGTCGTCAAACACTGAAAAGGTGTTAAGACCTCTCTCTCTCCTCTGATCCTGAATAAACAGAACCTTTTCCAAAACCTACTACGTGAAATAAAAAAACCTATCTGTTTAGAAAAAAAAAAGTCACTGGATAAGAAAGGGATTTCTAAAAGCCATGCCAAAGAGCAACAGCACATCATAGACTACACAGTTAAATAAAAGTTAGCATCCACTGGAGGTGGAAATGGGAAGAGATTGCCAATTATATTGCTTTGAGAAGGAAAGAAGTAAAACTTACCAATTTTGTTTGTGCATGTCGGACCCCTTTCTTGACTTTTTCTTTGGCTTGGAACTCAGACATTGCCAAGTCTGGGATGTTCCTCCCACAGTCCTGTAGCACGGGGCATATTTAATCATGGTCCTATTTAGTATGGTGTTGAAGCTTTAAAATACTAAGGCAGCGGTTCTCAACCTGTGGGTCGCAATCCCTGGGGTCGAACGACCTTTTCGAAGGGGTCACCCAATTCATAACAGTAGCAAAATGACAGTTATGAAGTAGAAACAAAAATAATTTTATGGTTGGGGGGGTCACCACCACATGAGGAACTGTATGAAAGGGTCGGGACATTAGGAAGGTTGAGCACCACTGTTCTAAGGCCACAGGACAGCTAATAGGCCTGGCTCCTGGCTTTTTGACCCATCAGTGCTACTTGTCTGGGAGTGAATCATGGGTACTTTTATGGGTAGAGTTTTCTACACCTCTCAGACAGGTTCCCTGGGGGTTACGTGACTCCACCTTGAGGAGAAGAGAGTCTGATCTCTTCAGGAAGTGCCCATCTGCCCTGTGTGGCCCAACCCAAATCAAAGGCACTGCAAAGTTAGGTAAAAACTGGAGTATTGTAGGCGCCCACCAACCTCTCCCCAAACTCTATAAAGTTTCATAACGAAAAGTGCACATTTTTATGAGTTGGTGATTCTCGGACATGGAAGCTACTTCAATTCAAGGCTGTTGCTCTCTATAAATGGGGGCTGACCATCTTGACAAGGGGAAAAAAAAAAAAAAAGAAAACCTTGGGTTCCACAGCCTGAAACTGTGATCCCATGAATTTGAGATATTTCTATGGCTATGCATCAATATTTAGAATCATTGTCATAGGCTTTTAAGGACCTTGGTGATACGTGTTTAAAGTGCTCACCTGCTAACTGAAAAGCCACCACAGAAAGCGATATCAACTTGCTTCCACAAGGATTTACAACCTTGGTAAACCCCCTAGGGTAATTCTACTTTGTCCTATAAATTTGCTAAGATCCAAAATCTCCTCAATGAGAGTGAGTTTGGTTGATGTACACACAGTCTTAAACATTAAGGGCTGCTATTTTTTTCTATAGTATGATTTTTTTGTTGTTGCCAGCAACCTTAGAGAACGTTCTAAGCTTTCCTAAGATTCAGCCTGAAGGTAAATGAAAGTGTTAAAAACAAAGGTTAAATGAAAGGAGAAAGTCACAACTATAGGGTGGCAAAAAATACATGGGAAAATTCCATTATCTTTTCATTCCATTTCCCCCATCACAAACTTTTTGAAGCCTCCTTGTATGTAACTTCAAACTCCACTTCCAAAGGTTGAGGGAAATCCCATACACCTGAGGCCCAGAGTGATTTTTGAGCTCGAGGCCCATACTGGGATGATTCTCTCTGGCCAGACAGTATAGTCTTCTATGAGACAGGCCCATTAAAATGCTCCTGAAGGCTCTTTTTTTACCCCCCATTTATTTTAAAAATAATTTTATTGGGGGCTCATACGCTTATCATAATCCATACATACATAATTGTATAAGCTTATTTGTACATTTATTGCCCTCATCATTCTCAAAACACCTGCTCTCCACGTAAGCTGCTGACATCAGCTCCTCATTTCCCCCCCTCCTTCCCCTCCCTCATGGACCCTTGATAATTTATAAATTATTATTTTGTCATATCTTGCACTGTCCGACATCTCCCTTCACCCACTTTTCTATTGTCTGTTCCCCAGGGAGGGGGTTATATGTAGATCTCTGTAATCGGTTCCCCATCTCTACCCCACCCTCCCAGTATCGCCACTCTCACCACTGGTCCTGAAGGGATCATCCGTTCTGGATTCCCAGTGTTTCCAGTTCCTATCTGTACCAGTGTACATCCTCCAGTCCAGCCAGATTTGTAAGGTAGAAAAGGGATCATGATAGTGCGGGGGAGGGGGGGGAAGAGGGGAGGAAGGATTTAAGAACTTGCTACTTGGCACCCTGACTAGCTCGTCTCCTCCCCATGACCCTTTAGTAAGGGGACATCCAGTTGTGAAGGCTCACTCTTGCGTCCTGTTTTTATTGATAACTTCACTCCCTGTTGGCCATCCCACTCACTAGAAAAAATCATTTTGAAGCGGAGCTCATTGAAAAGCAATACCTTTATTTTCTGCAGATGATTCTCTTTATCTTCTGTCATGGACTCTTTTGGGAGTAGTACTCCTCCCACTATCCTAAACCAATTTAAACTTTAAAAGGACAGAAAACAAAGCGGGGCAAAAGAACTCCTTCCATGGGAAAGGACTATGATGTATGGGGGAGAGTTGGTGGTCCCCTTTGACATGATGACAAACATGTTAATTGGTAAACAGTCAGAATTGTTTTATAAATTGACCCAGGAAGTCAGATGGGGAGGCCATCATATAAAATCCTAACGAATAAAGAAATCGGTTTTAAAATGGAAAATATTTAGAGCTTTCCAAGGTGAGAGCATACAGTTAATCCTTGCAGCCATTTTCTGATCATAGGAAACAGGCAAGTATACCTGATACTGAGCCCTAAAAATAATTTTCCCACCTATTAAAAATAATACATATCCAAGAACAAACAGACCCCCAAAGGCACTGAAACAAAAGACTAATCTGTATATATAGTCACATGAAAAATAAACATCTTTATTTTTTGCCTACTTTATTTCATTTTTTCAAATAAAATTTAAATCTGTACAAAGTATACTGTTACAGTATATATTTTGTAAGAATCAATGCCTAAAAGAATCACAATACTTCAATAAGCAGTACAGCAGACCTCGCTAGTTTCAGCTTTGATATTGAACAAACTCAAGCCGGCTGATGCACAACACATTTGCTTGGTTTCCACATGGTGAGTTCCCAGCACTGAGATGGGAGAACATGACAGCAAGTATGGTTATATTACAGCCCGACACACTGCGCTTCTTCATGTGATAATAACTGCACATATTTAATACAGAATGCTCAAATTTACTTTTTAAATTGCATTTGCTTACTTCTTAGTTGGCAAAATTCAGCATTCTCAATGGGGTCCCCAAACAGTGCAAATTAATGATATTCTACTGTATATTGGCACATCTCCAATAAGGATTAACTTATAAACTCAAAGAATATCAACAATTTTGTCCTAAATTTTAACCAATGTACATCTGGTCCATTTAACCAAAGTCATTTTGGAAAGATATTAAAGAACAATTCAATTTTCGAAAGGATATTTTTGACCATTCTTTAGAGAAGATAAATTTTTAAATTGTCATTAAAATGTTTGACTATAAAAATTTTACAAACTTGATTAGAAATTTCAAGATTATGATTCACAGCAGACAAATACAAACTGTTTATGTTCCAACAATACCTACTTTTAGATTTTCAAATAGAGCACAACCATGTCAGCTGTGTTAACTAAACTTCTGAACAGTGTACTAAATTTATAAGTGGTGCTGGGTCTAGCAAGTGTAAATACACAGTATATTTCAATGAAAAGAATTGTCTTCTTTATACTTTATTTGTTTTCCCATAAGGAAACATTAATGTTTACATTCTTTAATAAAGTTAATCTTACATCAGAATATAACTTAATACTGTCAGCAACAGGGACCACACACAGTAAATAAGAAGCACATTTAAAATAAGTCTGAATTCACATAGATTAACATTTGTTGGTTAATAAAATATTGACAGTATTACAATCTTACAATATTTACAGTAAGAAAAATCTAGAGTAATATATACCTTTCACAGCAGGATTCCTTATTTTATTTATTTTTCTTCCAGTTTGGGATTGTGTTTACATGAAAAGCTCAAAATAAAGCAACTCTGTAATATAATCTTAAAATAATGGCTACTAGAGGGAAAATCTGCCACAACCATTGAAAATAATGGTGACTTCTCACGGAGTCTGTGCATCTGAGGACCCAGTTAACTAACCAAAGTCTTGCTCAAACCAGCCTCAGTTACCCAGAATAAAGCTGCAGAACTCCGGCCTTCCCTGACTGCTGAAATCCCAACAGATTTTCTCAAAATGTCATAAGAAAAGAGGGAAAATAGGTTTCAGCTCACACCTCATGGCTGGAAGCCTCCAGCCAATACAGCGCCCATTCCCCAACTTACGTTAAAAGAGGACCATTTTCACCCATCAAACAGTCACAAGAGTCCACTTTCCAAGTAGTGTGCTTTGACACTGAGCTCACTCATTGCTCAACTCTTGTGCATTCGGGTTAGGCATGAACTTGGCCTGTATAACACACACCAGCATCTCAGGGACTTGGGACCGGGGCAAAGAGACAAACTAATGCAGTTTGCACTGAGATCAACAGGAAAAACGGGAAGTGACGCACGTTTCCAATTAGAATGGCAATAAGACCCACATCCCTAAACTGGAATTTGGCTAGGGCATCAGAGTTAGCACCCCCTCTCTGAATACCACAGCAATTGGGATGTACACTCTGGGGCTTCCTCCAAGAGAGTAACACCACGTGGGACATTAGTTTAATGATGACTCCCAAGCAAGCAGATACAATTCTTGAATCTAGGGCTGTCTACAGCACCTGAGGTCACTTCATTCAAGCTGTGTGACCCGACCCAACACTGCTTACTTAAAGAGAACTGATGGGCACAGAGTACTCGGATACGGCTGCTGGCTACTTTGGACTCTAGATCTCACAGGTAATCAACAGGTATCTGGGATTGAATTAGCAAACTGTACCATTTCTCCTTAAACAGACACTGTCAGGTTTGAAATCATGTCAAGCATGAATCTTCACTGTCAGGTCAGAAATTGAAGTGGGAGTCTTCCCACATCAGCCAAGGTTCTTTTATCAAACCTTAGAGGAGTTGGACAGTTTTTCATGTTGCAAGTGGGTGATTAGTTTACTTGTTTCAGTCAAACTGGATTGGCATACCAGACTGATCTATTTAGTTAGCTTTTGTTTTGTTTGATTCTTACGTATGTGCAAACCCAAAGCAGTTGTGTTTGGGCTAAATACACTGACAGAGAATATTCAAACAACAAAAGTTTTAGCAAACTTCTGTGGCATTTTCTTTTTGGAAGTCAATGCAAGATCTAAAGGTATTTCTACCCAACGAGTCTGTTAAAGTGTTTAAGGTTACTTCTGTTTTGGCCCTATACAGAATGCTATGACTTCTACATAGGTCTGAATGCTGCACCATGTAGATTCCTTCTGTATATCTAAAAATATATACTTTTCAGTAGTTCAATACATGGTTAATCTTCCTACAGAGGAAGATCTTTGTAATCACATGTTGTAAAGTAGAAAAAACATCTCCTTTCTAAAAAAGGAAATATACTTTCCTATTGTACACTTTTGAATAAGCCCAAAGACATGCACCAAAAATCATTAAAACTAATACATGCACTAAAATGGTGTAGAGTTAGACTTAAAGTGCTGCTCCTCAATTTTTAAATTTGGAAAAGACATTTGGTGAGTTACTGATTCAAAGATTCCCCACCCCCACCCCACCCATGATGTTAAGAAATTAAAGTAAAAATGTATGCATAAATCTTTAAACTATTCTTTACATGGGGGAATGAACAGATGAACGACCCTATTAATAAACTGGGTTCCCAGTTTTAAATAAAACCAATAACTACTGGTAAAATGTTTTCAAAGATAAAACACTCAAAACAAGTATTACTAGTAAATAATATTCTACATAGAGAATAATTTACTTTGGTTTTATGCACCTTCTCAAAAATAATACTGGTGTCCCACATGTCACCAAACTGATGTGTTCCAGCAAAACTGTAAGGCAAATCTTTTTTCCTAGTGACATCTTGTTTTCCAATAGCAAAACTAAAATATTTTGGTGAGGAAGGGGTTAAGATAATGGCTAACCCCTTGGCATCCTGAGCATTGTGGTTTATCAAACTCTACCCTGCTAGAAGCTGTCAGGCACCCTGACCCCTGCCTCGAACCATAGGAATGGCTCCCATGTTTAGAGATGCCTTGACTCCTGATAAATAGCTCTCAGAACTTTGCTTCTTTTTCTTCTGTCTGGCTGTTATCAAGTCTAATAAAGCTGGTTGCAATGTCACATTTTGCTAGTAGGGGCCACCATCTAACAATTATTCCAATCTGCCATGTTTTTAGCCAATAGTTAGTTTTGAATTGTCTCAATTAGTTGCATTAAACTTTCCTCTACAGAGTTGGGTTTCAGAAGATGTGTGATACCCCTGAAATTGTATGCAAAATTATCTATGTATATGCATTTTTTCTGGGGAGAGGGTCCATCACTTTCATTAGATTATTAAAAGATTCTGTAAACCTTCCCACAAAAGGAAGGGCTACAGGGACTTAAAGGGATACCCGTAATTCATTTTATAATGGGACTGGGAAATAGGGGCAAAACCCCTAAAAATGGCCTCAAAAAAGGGGCCAAAATGCTGCTCTTTCCCTTTCATTCACATCTGGGAAATAAGGGCTTCAAACTAGGAAAAGGAATTAAAATGGTTAAACTCCATTAAAATAGTTAAAA